GATTTTTCTAACAAATATTTCTTTAGAAAAAATAATGTAATCCATTTATTTTAATTTTTCAAGGTTTTGTTAAACAATTCAGATAATATTGTGTTGAAAATGAGGAATAACCAATAGATAGTTTAGTTGAAAATTTATTACTTCGTAGATTTTAACGGACCAGGCTGTATTAAAACGGACTCTTATTTTGAAATACCGAGTTGCTAATGCCGGAAGTACCGCTGACGGTTGCTGTTGGCCAGAGTTAAGTAAATAAAGAAAAGTGCTGGTGTTATGTGGAAGTTGAATACAACTGAAGTCACTCCCGGTGGACTGGTGGGCATGTGGATTTATTCACCACTCGGCAGACACAACAACGATCTATAAAGATCAATAAAAAATAAAAGAATAATCCACTGCTAGTTTAGGAAACGGCGTCCCCTATATTTCCGGTTTGCAATGGCGCCATTTCCATTTGGCTCAGGCCTCGGGTACAACCCCGCCCCTTATGTTTTGCTGCAGCAGTGTTGCCAGGTGTACGATAATTATCGTATTTGTACGATAATTTGGCCCTCTGTACGATGTACGATCAATAATCCCAAAAATCCCATAATGTACAATAATTTGACCGCTCCAATGTGTGACGTAACTGACCCGACACGCGGCTCGCTGACATGAGAGGTGGCGGGTTGTGGAACACAGCAGTGCTGATTTAGCGACTTTCTCGCTATATTTACAGACTTTTCAGACCCTCTAGATACTGTTAATCAGAAAAGTGACTAGTGAAAATCTAGTGACTGCATTTCTGGTGTTTTTGAGACTTTGAGAGACTCTGCCGTGAACACATTTCTCCATTGTGCTGCTGAGAGCTCCTCCTCCCCGGTCCCAGAGCACCGACAGCAGGCTTCTTCACGCTGCGTCTCTCCCTGCTGCAGGTAGATATCCATCCCATCCAGACATGAAATYAATACTGCTGCTGCTGACTGATCCATGATGGGATGTTAATAAAAACATTTCTATGGTTAAAATAGATCCCTTTGCCGGCCCCAATAGAAAGGAGGGTTAGAGCTGTGACAGCAAAATAAAAAATATATATTAATCTATCTTGGAGCAACAGATGAAACTTTTTATGTTCTCTTGACATAGCCTACTACTGTCTCTAAAAAGAAGGCTGGCTGCCGTTTTTAACCCTTTTAAAACTCTACTTCCTACCAAAGAATCAAACATCCAATGTCACAAAAAGGATGATTCATATATTGAGTTGAATGTAGAATCTGTCTCTAAAATAGATACGAAAGTGTTTATTTATGT